CTATGGTTTTGCAAACCAATGTCACCCAATAAAATCAATTAAAAAAAACCCCTGTCAAACCTGGCCCTGGCCAGGTAGCTCAGTTAGTTAGAGCATTGTCCCAATACACCAAGGTTGCACGTTTGATCTCCGGGCAGGACATGTACAGGAATCACCCACGGAATGCATATGTAAGTGGAAAAACAAATCAATGTTTTTCTCTCAAATCAACAACAAAACAAAATTTAAAGAAAATCTGTCAAAACTGCACTGCTTTATTTCACTCTTTTCCTCTGGCTTTTTAGCAGTTAGAATATGAGATGCTTGTGTTGTTTTTTGAAGCTGTCCTCTTAGCTTCATGGATCAGTCAATTGGTATCTTTAATTTTGAAACATTTTCAGCCATTATTACTTCAAATATTTCTTTTACTCTGTTCTTTTCCTTCTGGTATTCCAATTTACACCTATGTTACACATTTTGAAAATGATCTATTTTTGGATGTTCTGTTTTCTACTTTTTTCTCTTTATATTTCAGTTTGGGAAATTTCTATTGACCTACGTTCAGTTTGAGCCTTTCCTAAACTATTTTGAGTCTGATGAGCCTGTGAGCCCATGGAAAGCATTCTGTGTGTCTATTACAGTGATTTTGATTTCTAGCATTTCCTTTTGATTCTTCCGAGTTTCCATTTATTACCTTTGTTTTTGCATGTTGTCTTTTCCTGTTCAAATCTTTGACACATTTATCAATTATTAAAATTCCACTTGATAATTCCAACATCTGTGCCATATCTGACTCTGGTTCTGACGATCGCTGTCTCTCTTCCGACTGCTTTCTTCTTGCCGTTTGGCATGACCTGTAATTTTTTGTTGAATGTCAGACATGTTGCACTAAATAACAGAAACTGAGGTCAACAGGCCTTATGTGTGAGGGTTTATCTGGCTAGGGAGTGGACTGTGTTTTATGTTGGCTATAGTTATGGTACAGAAGCTTCAAATTCTGGTCTTTCCTTTTGTTTTTATCTTAACTTTCATTTTCCCTAATTACTCCTCCTCGAGTCTGTCTTGGAGCTTCTAGCTATAATCCACTATGATTAACACTGGAGCCTGGTGGAGGGGTGATGTTGGGGGATGGGGATTCTAATCTCCAGATCAAATCTCAATGTTTTGTGGCCCCATGACCTTCACCAAGTGTTGCCCTGGTGGTACAGCTTTCCTCCCCCGCCCCTTCCTCCCTTCCCTGCCCAAAGCATTCCCAGTGTATTTCTTTGAAGCCCTGACCCCTGTTATGTTTTTTCTCCCCTTAGGTGAGACAGGAAGGCTAGATGGGCTGGTGTGAGAATGCCCTTCCCCTGACAGCAACAAGGCTCTGACTACGTCTTTTATCCTGCACAATGGGCCTTTGTATTAAAGTTCTGGGCATATTTTACAATAGTTATTCATCTTCTCCTTCCCAGAGCCATAGGGGGATCTTTCTTGTTCTTCACTGTGGGAATCTGGTTGGGTTCCTGGAGGTACAGCCCAGGAATTTGTGGGGGTCCGCCCAAGACTGCCGTCTCCACCCAACCTCCAGCAACTCATCAGGATTATTGTGTAAGTGCTCCTGCCAGTTTATCGCTCCAGCAGTTTCTGCTCCAGGAAAACAGGCTGTGGCTGTCTCTCTAGATGAGGCCGTCTGTCCAGATTTTGGGGTTGCAGTTTGCCCTGCAACCTCAATTCTCTGATGGGTGGGTGCAAGAAAAGTCATTTTCAGTTTGTTCAGCTATTTCTTGTTGTGAGGACAAGATCCTTACACGTTTCAAGATCTTTAGGTGTCAGAGCTGAAACCAGAAGTCCCCTGCATTTTAGTTCCCTTCCCTTCATCTGAACTCCTGTGTCCTTCTTGTCCTCACATTTGCCATGCCTCCGATCTGGCTATAGTAGCAGTGAATGTTTACAAGACAGTGTCCTAACAAGACTGAGTTTCTTGAGAAAAAGGCTCGTGTTTAACCTCTTGTCTATGTTAACACTTTGCACATATAAAATGCTTAATGTTGCTTGATTTTATTGGGTCACTTAATTTATGGCACTCATCTAAGTAAAAAGCATCCTCTGAACTTCCTTTTGTGCTTTTGAATGAATTTTCCTGGCTTCCAAAGAAGGTCTTATTTTCTCAGCAAGGTTAGAATAAGGCAAACTTTACCGACTGTAAATCAAGATTTACAAAGTAATTCCTCAAGATCTGATAAGTCCTGACTTTTTCTCAATTTCCTGATGTCTTTCTGTAATGACTTAAGTAGCCAGGTTAAAGCAGTCAAGATAAAATCTGACCAAATTCCTGGAAATCAAAGGGCCTCCTAGCTAAGTGCCCAAACCTGGCTGTTTCGAAATTATCTGGGAAGCTTTAAAAAAAAAAAAAAATCTTGGACTTAATCTTAGAGGGTAATTGTGCACAGCTAAGTTTAGGAAAATAAAATACTTCTGATCAGCAAGCCCTTATGTCCAAAAGTGCTCCTGTACCCACATTTAAAACCAAACTTAAAACAGAACCCAGCCACTTAATCACTCATGTTCAGTCTAAAGGACATAGGCAATGTTACTGAAAATTCACCCTTTCATCCATTCAATAGGTTCACTGAACACTAAATAAGGCCTGGGTACCAAGTCATAGGCACTGTCCCCAAGATCAGTTAGACTTATTCCAGGGCCATCTAGGCTAACCTTAAGCATGCTACCTAAGCTTTCATATAGCCTCAGTCTTCACTTCTATAAAGGAGAATATTATTTACTTCATAGGAAAGTTCTGTGACAAAGATCACAAACTAATGAGGAAGATTTTTATTCTATCCTCCTAAAACAGTTTCTAAGTCGTTTCCCAAACACTTGCTTATCGTAATAAATCCCAGCTATCATCCACTGAGCAGTTAATCTACATGCCAGGCCATGTGCACTAAGTTTTGTGTCCATCTACACTTCAAACAAATCTTATTTGTAAAGACCCAGGGGCCAGCAGCCTCCTCCTTTCATTTGTTATATGTATCCTCATCCTGTAATTAAAGCAGGCAAAGCAAGTGCTGAGGCAACAGGACAAGGACTTTTAATGTAGAGTGGGCCATACATAATAAGAGAGCCAAGATGAAAAGCCACAGGATATAATAAAGAGGAGATGCTCTCTGGCACCCCTACCAGAGGTCACCATTGCTACTGACAGTCATGATGGCAGAACCTCCAAGGAAGAAACCAATACCAGATAAACCCACCCAAAAACTGCCTTGGGTTTAGTGGTAACATTTGTTGTCACTACTAATGTACATATGATTACCTCCGTCATCAGAGAACTATGATTAAATCTTTACATGTCTCAGACATTGCTCTTCTATGGATTTTACATTTAGTCCTCAGCAACTCTAAGTTACTAAAGGTTCCACTGATGTTTCCCATTTACAAGTGGCAGGAGTTGAGACAAGGCAATGACTTACTGAGGGGACACAGAGCCTGCAACTCCTGCTGCATAGCCCACTGCCAAATTCACTTCTGTTCTTTTAGGAAGACTCTTAAGGACTTCTAGAACATCTTCCTATGTGGTTAGAGTTAACAGCCCCTGTATTTTTACTTTACAGGGTTAAACACAGACCAGGTTTCAATTCTCTGAGAAACAACAATGAAAAGTACCTTCCCTGGCAAAAACATGTCACCTGCAATAAAACAACTTTTCACCTACCTTAAAACCTTCAGCTTTTATAGACTATGTGCCTGCCCTTAGGAAACTGCAGAGGTTAGAAGTAAACGGGGCCAGTACTACGCATCTGAAACCACATTATTCTCTCACAAAAAAGTGACCAAACTAAAAAGAATTCCACGGTGAGTGGAAACCTCAGCACTGTGGACATTGTTCTGTTGTGGGAAGCTATCCTGTGCATTGTAGATTTAGCAGCATCTCTAACTCTTGCCCACTGGTTCTCAGTGTCACTCTCCGGTTGTGACAAGCAAAAATTTCTCAAGACGTTGCCAAACAACCCCAGGGAGAAAAGGCATCCCTGGCTGAGAGCCACTGCTTTTGGAGGTATTTAGCCATTTCGTAGAGCTACCACTACTTTGTTCTGAATATCAAAAAATGACAGACTTTGATTTTATTCTGCTAGCTCAATGAAATAAAATTCATGTTATTTAGCTTTGAGCATTAATTTATAATAACTGAAAGGTCCAATATTATGGCATTGTGAAATACTAAGGCCTTATAGGGCAGCTCTGACTTCTTCCTATGATTTCCAATCCTCTTGGTGGACACCCTAGTTTGGCCAAGATCTAAGCTGGTTTCCTCTCAAATGACTGACCTGTCTAAGGAGACACTCTGGTGTGAGGACAAACTTTCCTTACGTTGGGGATTAACTCTAGGTCAGAGTGGGTCCCCAAAGCACCAGATGGTGTGCAGATTCAAACAAGAGACCGCATTCTAGCTGCAAAGTTCTGGCCACAACACAGGTTAGGCAGCCAGGAGTCATATATTTTCTCGTTTTTTATCATACCAGTCAGGCTAGAACGCTGTGTCCCTCTCCCTTGGTTAAAGAGGATCAAGACTGCCACTATTCTAAGCCAAATTAGAGAAAAAGCATGAATGTGTTGACTAAAAAAAGGAGTTATTACATCCTTGCTAATTTTGTTTAAGCAAGTTGTGCAGATGAGCTACAAAAAATTCTTCTAAGTAACAGGAGGCATGGCATTGATTTATCTTAAAAGGGCTTTTAAAAAGAATGACTTGAGATTATAAAGCATTTTTCAAATACACAAAGTACTTCATAATGACTCAATAAGCCTTAAGGAATGCTTTTTTTAGTACATCACTTTTTTAGTTGTTTAAAAGAAAATACCCAATTCAAAGGGTGGTGGCATATTTGATATCACCACTATTTAAAGAGGATTGAAGTTACAGGAATGAGAAGTATATAATTAGTAAATAATCCCTCTCAACAAGTGAGTTAAGTAGGAAAGCCATAAAAGAAGAAAAGCTGGATGCAACACAATCAGTGCATATCAGAAATGCATTTTTATTTGAAAACAACTTAAATTTTTAGACAAATGATTTTAGTATAGAAATTTGATTTTGTTTTTATACAGAATATAAAGATTTCCCTCACTGATCTTCCATGTGAAGGGTATTACAAGCCTGCAGGGGGATACTTTCTGCATATGAATGTGTATATTACATGTAGGGTGCTGGCAACCAATGGAGCAGTGCTCCTACACATAAATTAGGTCATGTGACATCACATATTAAAAAGAGGATAAGAGAAATATTCTAGTTACTCAGATTCAAGAAGCAAACATGACACAAAAACTGTGCAGATATGACCAGGTCAGTAACTTTAGTTAGGGCACTGGAGATTACGCTGGAATAACAAGTTTGTGAAGCTATAGTGTGCACCACATTAAAACAGCAGGAAAGAGTTATTATATAGAAAGGCTGGAATGAGGGATTTTCACTAAAGCAAATTAACTTCTTGTCAACTGCCCAAACAAAACAAACAAAGCAGAGCATATGAGTGTTAGTATACTAAAGGCATGATATACCAGTTTCTGTGCAGCATGCTAAAAGTTAGAACTTCTTCACTGGTGCATACGAATCATTAATAGTCACAGAAAGTTTGTTTTTTTTGTCCTTTCTCATCAAATTTCAGGCATGTCTTATTTTAGATGGAGTATAGCTTTTATCTATTATTTCATCCTGTAAAAACATGTGAAGACAACGCTCATTCTGTGCCAGAGGATGACCAGCGACCCTAGGAATAAAAAAAACAAATTTAGTCTGATATTTTATAAAAAGGGGAGGCACATATTTTAAGTTTAGGAAAGCACAAACAATTTAGTAATAATAAGTATTAGAATGAACTGCCCATAAAACTATGCTCTATCAGCTTAAAGTAAATCTTCTTTCCTTTGGTTCACAAGGATAATTTAGAAAACATTCAGTCACTAGCTTTGCACTGCTTCTGGCATATGTATTCAATTAGCTTCTTTACCTACTAGATGGTACATTTATAAGAACCTTAAATTAGCCCTGGCTGGTGTGGCTTGGTGGCTTGAGCGCCGGCCTGTGAACCAAAGGGTTGCTGGTTCGATCCCCAGTGTAGGGCACATGGCTGGGTTGTGGGCCAGGTCCCCAGCAGGGCGGGGCGCATGAAATGCAAGCAACCACACAATTATGTTTCTCTCTCTCTCTCTCTTTCTCTCTTGCTTCCCCTCTAAAAATAAATAAACTCTTAAAAAAAAAAGGAAACTCAATTTTAAAGTTAAAAGTAAAATATGTATTGATTCCAAGAATCCATTTTAAAGAAGTAAAAGATATGGGATTAGAGTTAGAAATGCACTGGAGTTCAAGAAAAGCCCCAAATAGTAACAGGCACAAATGTACGGGGTTCTTTTTTGACGGGGGGGGGGGGGGGGGGGGGGGGGAGGTAGAAGGGTTGCTTGCTTTTAAAATGTTTAAGGGTTTCTATTAGACTAAACACAAGATCAGACTGGTCAAAGAGACTTCTATTTCAGATTTTAAAAACATCTACTCCAGCACTGCCTTCTCTACAGGGAAAGTATGGTCATAAAAAGACAATAAAGGTTGTCTAAAACAACTAAAATGTAAAGCTTTATATAAATTTTCCTGCTGTGTACCTACCACTCAGATCTTCAAACCACTAGAGAAAAATTAAAGTGCTTCTAATAAATAGCTCACACAACCATATTCTCTACGATTTGAACTTTTGGTCGATTTTAAGGCCAATACTTAATTATAGTGAACCCTTCCCTGGCGTAACTCTTTGTGTCGGGCTTTTTAAAAATGGCTATACTTTAAATGGAAATAAAATTTAAAGTTACAAATTTTGCTTTGGGCTTAGGAGTTTCTAAAGTAAAAGATAACCCCAAGTCTTCTTACATTTCCAAAAGAATGCATTTTGCCATGAAAATTTTAAATGTGCACATTTACAAGACATACTGATAATACCTCCATCTGCAATCAAACAAAATGATTTCAAGAATATTGTAAGTTTTATTGTTCATACAAGAACATACCTTAAATCAGAAATAATCGTAAGTAAAATTGTATTTTTAAATGCTGTAATTTTAAATGTAATTTGCATAAATTAACCAAGAAAAACAAATACATACAAAACTTAGGTCAAAACAAAGATAGTCATTTCAATCACTCAAGTATGTTAATACTTATCACATGATATTCAACTTGTTATATACTTTTACTTTGTTTAAGTGATACAAAAGGTTAGGAAATGGCCAAAAGGAAAGGCAACATTACAGTTTAGTTTAATATCAAAATTACTAGCAGGCATATAAGGTAATCTTAGAACACTGTCCACTCTTACGCCATGAGAAACAGAAAGAACTTACTTGTTGAGAAACAGAAAGAACTTACTTGTTTATAAACTGCTCCAGCCCTTGCTTCCTTTCTTCAATAAAATTGTCATCAAATATTCCATCATCTCCTCTAAAAGGAAGCTGACGTAAAAATGCTTTCCCAGGGAGTGGGGGAACTACAACCTAAAACAATGTAAGTAAAGGAAGTTCTCGAACATGCTGACTGAATTGTGGACATTTATAGAGCACAACATGAAGACAAAGTATACCCTCATTATGAGAGCCATCCTACTGTTAAACTTGTTTAAATATAAAAGGGAATCAGTAAAAAACACTGAAAAAAATATTCAATGTTTTGGAGGCAAGATAACCAAATGAAAAATAGCCAATCCTCTGGAGCTGGGCCCCTAGCTTAACTATCGTTTTTCCTGGACTTACTAGCAAAGCGCACACACACTCAGAAGACATTCAAGAAACAAAAGCTACTATGCCCCCTTAGACAAGTTCTGATGTCACCCGAGGAAGACAATGCTTTACTACAATGGAAACTGTAGAGATCAAAATCAACTCTCAATTCAATGAAGAAAGAAAATATTAACAATGTTCTGACATGGACAGATAAAAATTCTGTGATCAGTTTCTTCTACCTCATACCATTTGCACCCATTTGCACCCATTTGCATACAGATTTCCTCCTTGTCTCTGAGGTGATGCCAAAATCAACAATGACTTGTCACCACTCTTCCATTTCCTAGGCTAAGAAACATGTTAACTTTCTCCCAAATAACCTATCCTATCTTTCCCCAAAGACCCATTATTTCTTCCTTCCACACTATAGGAACACCCCAAATTTTTACCTTTAAAGCCTGACTATTCTCTAGGGTCATCTTATACTGATACGTGCTTTCTGTGAATTATTTGGAGCTCATATATTTGTTTTTGAACACTGTTGAACAGCAGTGAGCTATTTATTTTACAGGTTAGTTTGGTTTCTCTACCCTAGGGTTTCTTAACTGCAGCACTACTTCGTGATCCTTCATATCAGAGGAAGGCTTTCTTGTGCACTTAGAATACTTAATGGCAACCCAGGTCTCTACCCCTTTATACCACAAGTAGCACTCCTATTTATGACAATAAAATAGTAAGGTATATCAATATATAATATGTCAGATGGTGATGTGTTCTTAAAAATTAAACTAAGAGTTTAAAAGAGAGCTACCCTTACATAGGATGGTCAATGGAAGACCTCACTTAGAGGTGGCATTTTAGCAGTAGACTTGACAGAAGTAAGGCAGTATCTCATAACTTACTTATAAATCAATAAAATTCTAATAAAATTATTAGTGAGAGTCTTTAAAAATTTGCAGATTTATGTATGAACTTTAGAATTTGATAAGGCTCAAGCACAGTCAAATTATTTTCAACATATATTAGGTCCCTTCAGACATCAGAACATATCTTCAAGCTGTTCTGAAGGGCAAAGAGGTTAGTGGAATGTAATAGAACTTAGGAGCTGTCCTATGTGTTTACTGGAAATTCAGTTCATAACAAAAACAACATTGTTGACCAGTGGGGAAAGGAATTTATATTTAGTAAATGGGGTTGACAGAATTGCCCCTCTACCAATCTAGAACCACCAATCTAGCCTATTGATGCCTTCAAATCAAGAACCCTCTTTTAGGCTACTTATGGTTATTTTAATAAAAGCTGGGCATACAATAGAAGCCTAAATATCTGTTAAATGACCAACCACTTTGCTGGAACCTTATCTTACACCAAAACAGAGAAAAGATGTAAGTAAACAATTCAAACAAGGAGGAATATAAATAGTAAACACCTGTAATACAAATTATACTTATTCTAAGAGGAAAAACTTCAAATCTTTGTTACAGAGTTTCCATAAATATGAATTATCCTAACACAGTAATTTGACAGGGTAAAAAAAGGGAAGAGCAACACAACTGCATACAGATTAGCAAAAATAATAATAAAAAAATGATGATAACAGCAAAAAACCCACGAAACCAAATGCCTTCCCTTTACCAGCTCCCAAACTTACCCAATAGAATGTAAGCACCATAAAAGTGGGGACATTAATTTGTTCACAGCTCTATGCTGTTACTCAAAGAACACACAGAATGAGCTCTCAAATGTTTATAAAATAAATAAATCTTCAAAAGTGAATATTCCAAAACAAGAATGTAGTATTTCTATTTAGAAGGTCTTCTTCTGTCTTTCAATGAAGTTTTAAGTTTTCGTTATATAGGTCTCATATTTCTCATTTTATTCTTAAGTATTTTATGAGTAAAATTGTTTTCCTTTACATTTTGATAGACTGCAATGGTTTGCATAAGTGCTCTTGTATCCAGCCACATTTAACTGGTTAAGGAAATTTCCATCCATTTTGTAGCATATTACGCTTCAGAAATAAGCACGAGCTACCCCCTTATTCTACTTCTGGGCTCCTATTCCTACTATTCCTACTCACAAAATAACTTTTCATCATTCTGAACACACCATGCCTTATGATGTTATTCTGACATACAGCTGAAATAAGGAATATCAGAATGAGACCATGCTCTAATTTACTCTGCAGCCAATGCTTATGAGAGAAGGTAATTCTTACCGAGCGATATGGCGGTTTACAGGTGCAGGACGATCGTGGCCATCATTTAAAAACACTAGTCTGAAGAATATCAGCATGTATCACACAGAGTAAGCTAAGTATTAGTTTATGAACTTTTGTTATATGTAAATGTATGATGCTGAAAGATGTATTTATTATGAGTCAGTAAAAAATACTGGAAATATACTGATATATGAGATGTACTGAGGAAAAGAAACTTGGCTAGGAGTGTGGAGGGTGAAGGTGGCATAGGAAGATGAGGGAAAGGAAATAATAGTAAGAAAGTTCTAAGAAGTGTCATCCCAATGTAAGTCAGCAAAGGCCTCAATTGGAACATTAGACAAAAGAAGGAAGAGAATTCTAAGGAAAAATTACAGACTTCTTCCATCTCCCATGAAATAAAACTGATTAGAAAAAGAAATTGTATTTACTTTTACTCACTTTATTCAAGATAATTTTCCTGAGGAATCTTAATATTGAAATTTGGAATGTTTTGTTTCAAAGTTGCTTTACAAATAATTCTTACCTTGCTCTCTCTTTCTAATTCACTTCGCAGCCATTCAAAGTCACTGTATCTCCTTCTAACTGTAGATTCCTTCAGCTTGAAAATAGGCAGATTTGTCTGAAACAAAAAAAGTCACTCCTAAGTTGAAGCATATTACAGGGACTTCAAAGAGGGGTGAGATCTGTTTGTTAAATTAATAACACAGTAAGCCCGGTTACCTTAAGAAAATCATAAAGTTATTAAGGTGTGATTTTACCTTTAACAAAATAAAACTCTGCTAACTATTAAAAATGTTATTTACACTAGAGTACAACTTTCAATATGCTTGTTTGCACATATGCTACTGGATGTCGTTCTGCCTGAGGTTAGTTACATAAACAAAGGCCATTTTTTTCTATTTCACTGATCTGTAAAAATGTCAACTGAACAGGGGTGAAGATAAAGCTAGCTGATTTTGACCCAATTTATATAGCAACTTAGTATATAATGTTCAGTGGAGAAATAGACCTTAACTACTTTCAAATAAAGTATAAAATATTTTGTTATTATGACCTGATTAGATGTTACATGATGGAAGAAATAATTATTCTTAATGGTCTTTAAAAATGCCAGAAAAACCACTCAACAGAAGTAGGAAATTAGGAGCCACACACTTTACATCAGATTCATAGATCCAGAGCTTTACAGACTGAGGGCAAATTTAAGAATGGGAAACCTAATGCCCAGTACTTTGAGGTTACATCAGAATGGCAGAAAACTTTTATTTAGAGATTGTCCTTTATAAGATTGCAAAGATCACTTCTGTCAACTTCTAAACTTAAAGTAGTAAGGAAGGTTTCTATTACCTTTTACTGGTCTTTAAAAAAAAGTAAACATTACCAAACCTAATGAAAAATGGTTTATGATTAATGACAATTAGTAGAAGCTGTATAGCATCACGATTTTACCATCAAAAATAGATGTTATGAACGTCTATTCACTGCTGGCGGGAATGTAAATGGATACAGTTACTATGAAAAATATGGGGTTTCCTCAAAAAAATAAGAATAGAATTACCACATGACTCAGCAACCCCTCTTCTGGGTATCTACCTGAAAAACTTGAAAACATTTGTTCATAAAAACATGTGTACCTATGTTAACTGCAGCATTAATTCACAGTGGCCACAACATGGAAACAACCAAAGTGTCCTTCGATAGATGATTGGATAAGGATGTGATACATATATACAATGGAATACTACTCAGCCATAAGAAAAGATGAAATACTGCCATTTGCAACAACATGGATAGAACCTGAGAAAATCATGCTAAGCAAAATAAGTCAGGATATAAAACTGAAAACAACGAATGAACAAACAAAACAAAAAAACCCCTCCAAAACTCAGACAGAGGAATGGTATGGGGGCTATCAGAGGGACAGCGGCGTAGGGGAAAGATATAGTAAAGGGTAAAGGGGGTCGAATACAAGATGATGGAAGGAGGTTTGACTTTGGGTGATAAGTACACAATGTAGTATACAGATGATATATTATAGAACTGTACACTTGAAACATAATTTTATTAACCAATATCACCCCAATAAATTTAATTAAAAAATAGATTTTAAAATGCACATATCACAAAGTTTGTAGGGGACAGAAATGACCTAACACAAACAATGCCATGTTATACTGAAAATGCTATTTAATACTTTAGTTGACACTTGAATGATGGGTTTGAACTGCTCAGGTCCACTTAAGCATGGCTTTTTTTCCGGTAAATATATTGGGAACTTTTTTTGGAGATTTGCAATGATTTGGAAAAAACCTCACTAACCATGCAGCCTAGAAATACCAAAAATCTTAAGAAAGAGTTAAACACATTATGAATGCATAAATATATAAATACTATTTCACCATTTACTATCATAAAATATACACAAATCTATTGTAAAAAGTTAAAACACACACACTTACAGAGCATACATGGCAATATTGGCTGTTGAGACAAATGTAAACAAATGTAAAGATTAAGTGACAACTGCAGAAAATTAACTATAGTGCATACTCTGCTACTGTAATAATGTTACCTGCTGTTATATCAGTTACACTAGGCTACCATAAAGCAATCACATATGCTTGTTATCAATACATGAATCTTTATACCTGTAATAAATACGGATTTTTTTCACAGTATCTTTTCATTTTTGAAAACTTTTCATGTAATACATGTAACATCTTCAGTGTTTTATATCATAAAAGACAATATCGAAGTAGGTAGTGACAGACAATTCACTTAGAAACATGTGACAAACTTAATGGTATCAATAAAGACAGTGCTGCAAATGTAGTTTATCGTCTTTATGATTTTTTTCTTTTCCCTAGCTTATTTTACTACAAGAATATAGCATATAACACATATTATATACAAAACATGTGTTAATGGAGTGTTTATGTTATTGTTAAGGCTTCTAGTCAACAGTAGGCCATTAGTAGTTAAGTTTTGGGGGAGTGAAGTTATTGGTGGATTTTCAACTGTGTGGGGGATTGGTACCCAAACCCCGAGGGTTGTTCAAGAGTCAACTGTACATATACGTAGATAGATACCTTGAGATTGTATTTTGTCCTTAACTCAATCTTTGCACTTGTAGTACTACAAACTTTCAGTTGAAAAGAAAAGTTAAGTGCCACTAGGAAGAAAGACTGTATCTTGTATACAGGGACATCATCATTATATAAAATTCACTTGTAAGAAGATTCCAATCATTTGTTAAACTTAATGCCACTGGTAATTGTCATTCAGCTAAAGAAAAGCTTTTTATTTAGGATCTTAAACCTACTTTGTACTGGTCTAAATTTTTTCCAAAGTGTATTAACTTCTCTATGTTGTATACCTTATAGCTTGGAATCTTCTACAGATGCTATTGGGCATAACACTGTATAGGTTTCAAGCATGAAACCAAATCTCACAAGAGGTTTAAAAGCACTTGAATTTTCTTTCCCAGGTAACCACAACATTTGTTCATTGTATTAATGACCAAGAGCAAATTGTACCTAACAAGACTCTTATTATACTAGAAGTCAAGCTTATATTTAGAGATGCTGGCTCTCTGTACAGAGAGGTATTCTCATTCCCCACAGGGAATAAAATTAGGTCCCCTGGAGAGCACGATGATAATTCCCAGAAAGAAAGCACTGGATTATTTATCTCTAATTTCACCTATTGGCTTTTTAACCAAGTTCACCCTTCCGCATTAAAATATTAAGTCTTTGTAAGTGTCTAAAGATAGAAAGGCCTTTACAGAATTGAGTGTTTTCTGCAGGTGAGATTTTACATTTTGAATTCCTCCTCTCAAGTTACTTTACAAAGGGGATTAGCTGCTCTCTTCATTCAATATGTTAAGATCAAGCTTGTGAAAAGTGTTCCCTAAGAATTTTCATACTTCTGGGTACGGAAGTCTATAAAGTTAATCTCTGAAACAACATATCAAGCTTACAGGTACAATGTTGGGGGAAGAGTGCCAATCCAGCTCATTTTACCTTCCATTTTCCCTTTTGAACTTTTGACATAATCATGATTATATCTCATTCACTTTAATAGAAGGGGGGATGGGAGGGAGAAAACAATCCAATCCTTTCTATGATTAGCTAATAGTTTGACAGATTATACATTAAAAAAGGATCGTGGTTAGTTCAAGAAAATTCTTTTAGTTTTCTCAGCTGGCTATGATTTCTCTTTATGTGAAGACTACTATACTTTTGATAAAGTCACAGCACGTAATTCTTAATATTATTTGCTCATCACATTTAGAGTGGTAAGTTTGACTGTTAAAGTCTTCCTGACCATCACAAGGAATTTCAATTCAACTTGATCCAAATACAAATGAAAAATGTGTTTTTTTGTTAAAGTCAATGAACTATCACCACTGATTACAAATTTTTATGATTGGTTACTTTCAACTTATTTAACACATAAAATGTTCTAATTTTTGGTTTTTTAAAGAATGAAGAGTAAGAATAATAATTTTTTTCCTATAGTTTTGGGAGGATTCAACTATTATTACAGTTTGGAAGTATCTATAGAAGGGCATAGTGCTAGGTAAGGTGGGGAATATAATAATAAGATGTTCTGGCCTTTAAGAAGCTTATGTTAGGGAGGTTAAAAGATAAGTATATAAAAAGTTAAATTTACGTGGTTAAAAATGCCATACACCCAAACAAAAACAAAGATGAAACAAAAACAAACTGTGGACAAATACCTGCAACATAAAACAAAGAGATAATTTCATTATAAGGTAAAGAACTTAGAAAACAATGATAAAGATGAATAACCTGACAAATAAATATGCAGAACACAGAGAAATTAATGGCCAATAACGTCCAACTTCACTCACACAAGAAATGCTAGTTAAAACAGTAAGATCCCATTTTCATTTATCAAACAGGCAGGCATTAAATTTTAAAACCCAGTGACAGTAAGGGTAGAGAGACAGACATTGAAAAAAGCCTGCTACCTTGGTACAACCTGTAAGGAGGCCATTTTGGTGACATCATTCAGTCCTTTTTAAAAAAAAATTTTTTTAATTACAGTTGGCATACAGTATTAGTTTCAGGTGTACAACATAGTGATTAGACACTGACATTCCTTATGAAGTAATCACCCCAGTAAGTCTAGTACTCATCTAACACCATATATAGCTACATTATAGATTATAATTTTCTATATTGTACTTTATATCCCCATATCATTCCTTTTTTTCCAATTTTATTTTTCATTTTTAGAGAAAGGGGAAGGGAGGGAGGAAGAGAGGGAGAGAAACATCAATGTGTGGTTACCTCTCATGCACCCCTCTACTGAGGACCTGGCCAGCACCCCAGGCACGTGCCCTGACTGGGAACTGAACCAGCGACCCTTTGGTTTGCAGGCCAGTGCTCAATTCATTGATCTGCACCAGCCAGGGCCATGTTATTCCTTTAAACGCATTCATCTTTTGAGTCAACAAGTCCACTAGGAATGAATCCTACAAATATTTCCACATATACAAAAAGATATTGGTACACAGAGGTTTACATTAGCATTGTTTATGTAATAGCAAAACAAAAAAGCAAAAACCTAATTTTTACAAATATAAAATAA